TACAGGGCCTACTGTGCACTATACAGTGTACAATTGGACAGCTGAAAGGTTGCTATTCAACAGAGGCCGCAGTTCCTTTATATATAAGGATTCCATTATTCTCAAATCTGACTGGCCATTCATACAAGTGTCCAGAATTTTAAAATCAGATTCCAGCAGAGAATGATCAAACTCATAACAATGGTTTCTAATCTCCGAAAATGCTGGTTTAGATAATGGTAATCCAGTCCTAAAAGATAATCCCCGGTGCTCAAGTATCCTAATCTTAAAGTTCCGAATGGAACTCCCGACATATCCAGCATTACAGCTGGAACAATTATACATATATACGACATTTGAGCACAAGGGGAAAAGCAGAAGCGGGTAAATGAGCTGAAAAGTGAATTGCACGTGAACTTGGAGAAATTCAAGATCTTGGTTTCCTGGATTGATTTTGCATCTTTAAAATGTAAATATGAAATTATATATATATATATATATATATATATATATATATATATATATATATATATATATATATATATATATATATATATATATATATATATATATATATATGGTGTTGACATCAAGAAGTCAACACCAGCAATCAACAGCCAATTATTGCACAACTATATTCTACCCACCTCAAGACTCCGCTCCAATATAGAAGCATCAAGAAATATGGACCAATAGGCTTTCTACAAACACTTCTATTCAATACCCATTGTTTCTGTTCTGTCTTGTGTTGATACTTTTAATACCCTATTAATATCCCCTCCTGTTCTGTCTTGTGTTATGCCACATCACCCTTCCCACCTCACTCAAATGTAGATATATATATATATATATATATATATATATATATATATATATATATATATATATATATATATATATATATATATATATATATATATATTAGTATATTTTGGTAGCAGTCTTTCCTGTAGACATATATTATTAAATATGACCGAAAAAGTAAGATTAATAATTCTAACACGAATTTTCTCTATCTTTCGTACATTTCTTTTCACTGTTGGTGGTAATTCAAAAATCAATTCTCCAAAATTCATTTTTATTTCTAGTCTGACGCGACACTTAGCGTGTTTCATAAAACTTATTACATTTTCAAAGACTTTAGTTTACACATACACAACTGAATAGAACATACACATCTCCGATTTGTTTATATCTACATTTGAGTGAGGTGGATGGGGTGAGGTGGCATTAATAGGGTATTAATTTCATCAACACAAGACAGAACACGAAACAATGGGTATTGAATGGAAATGATTGTAGAAAGCCTATTGGTCCATATTTCTTGATGCTTCTATATTGGAGCGCAGTCTTGAGGTGGGTAGAATATAGTTGTGCATTAATTGGCTGTTGATTGCTGGTGTTGACTTTTTAATGTGTAGTGCCTCGCAAACGTCAAGCCGCCTGCTATCGCTGTATCTATCGATGATGTCTGTGTTGTTTACTAGGATTTCTCTGGCGATGGTTTGGTTGTGGGAAGAGATTATATGTTCCTTAATGGAGCCCTGTTGCTTATGCATCGTTAAACGCCTAGAAAGAGATGTTGTTGTCTTGCCTATATACTGGGTTTTTTGGAGCTTACAGTCCCCAAGAGGGCATTTGAAGGCATAGACGACGTTGGTCTCTTTTAAAGCTCTTAGGAAACTACTCCAAGCTTGTACTAAAGAGGCACCCTTCTTGAGCCCGGATGGGCACATGTATAAGCAAGTAGATGGGGTCGCCATGGGTTCTCCCCTAGGTGTCCTGTTTGCAAACTTCTACATGGGTACCATCGAGTAAAAAGTCTTAGTCGACATGAACTTGAAACCGGCCATATACTGCAGGTATGTTGACGACATTTTTACACAGGTACCTGATGTCAGACATCTGCAGGAGCTGAAGGAGGCGTTTGAGCAGAGTTCCGTGCTGCGTTTCACTTACGATATGGAAAAGGATGGGAAGCTGCCCTTTCTAGATGTAACAGTCATGGAAAAGAGCGGAGGTTTCCACACTGCAGTCTACACTAAGGAAACGAACATAGGAATGTGCCTAAATGCCAACAGCGACTGCCCAGACAGGTACAAGAGGAGTGTTGTTAACGCATATGTCGACCGTGCTCTCAGCCACAGCTCAGAATGGAAGCAAGTCGACGAAGAACTCTGTAGGGTAAGGCAGGTCCTAGTCAACTACGGCTTCTCCAATGGTTTCGTCGAAGACATCATAAGAAGGAAAGTGAAACGCCATGCAACCTCTGAAGAGACAACTAACACAACACCTATACCCCCTATTAGACTATTTTACAGGAACTTCTTTTCCACAGCTCATAAAACGGAGGAAAGGGTCCTGAAAGATATTGTTAATAAAAACGTTATCCCTACAGACAAAAATCAGAGAATACAACTGACGATTTACTATAAAACCAGAAAAACGGCCAGCCTACTCATGAGAAACTCTGCAGACACAAAGCAGAACGTTTTAAAAGAGACCAACGTCGTCTATGCCTTCAAATGCCCTCTTGGGGACTGTAAGCTCCAAAAAACCCAGTATATAGGCAAGACAACAACATCTCTTTCTAGGCGCTTAACGATGCATAAGCAACAGGGCTCCATTAAGGAACATATAATCTCTTCCCACAACCAAACCATCGCCAGAGAAATCCTAGTAAACAACACAGAAATCATCGATAGATACAGCGATAGCAGGCGGCTTGACGTTTGCGAGGCACTTCACATCAAGAAGTCAACACCAGCAATCAACAGCCAATTAATGCACAACTATATTCTACCCACCTCAAGACTCCGCTCCAATATAGAAGCATCAAGAAATATGGACCAATAGGCTTTCTACAAACACTTCTATTCAATACCCATTGTTTCGTGTTCTGTCTTGTGTTGATGAAATTAATACCCTATTAATGCCACCTCACCCCATCCACCTCACTCAAATGTAGATATAAAATCGGAGATGCGTAAGTTCTATTCAGTTGTGTATTTGTAAACTAAAAGTCTTTGAAAATGTAATAAGTTTTACGAAACGCGCTCGTGTCGCGTCAGACTAGAAATAAAAATGAATTTTGGAGAATTGATTTTTGATTTACCTTCAACAGTGAAAAGAAATGTACGAAAGATTGAGAAAATTCGTGTTAGAATTATTAATCTTACTTTTTCTGTCATATTTAATAATATATATATATATATATATATATATATATATATATATATATATATATATATATATATATATATATATATATATATATATATATATATATATATATATATGTCGTACCTAGTAGCCAGAACTCACTTCTATGCCTAATATGCAAGGCCCAATTTGCCTAATAAGCCAAGTTTTCATGAATTAATATATTTTCTTTATTTTTTTTTCTTATGAAATGATAAAGCTACCCATTTCGTTATGCATGAGGTCAATATTTTTTTATTGGAGTTAAAATTAACGTAGATATATGACCGAACCTAACCAACCCTACCTAACCTAACCTAACCTATCTTTATAGGTTAGGTTAGGTTAGGTAGCTGAAAAGGTTAGGTTAGGTTAGGTTAGGTAGGTTAGGTAGTCGAAAAACAATTAATTCATGAAAACTTGGCTTATTAGGCAAATCGGGCCTTGCATAGTAGTCATAGAAGTGCGTTCTAGCTACTAGGTACGACATATATATATATATATATATATATATATATATATATATATGTCGTACCTAGTAGCCAGAACGCACTTTTCAGCCTACTATGCAAGGCCAGATTTGCCTAATAAGCCAAGTTTTCATGAATTAATTGTTTTTCGGCTTCCTAACCTACCTAACCTAACCTAACCTAACTTTTTCGGCTACCTAACCTAACCTAACCTATAAAGATAAATTAGGTTAGGTTAGGTAGGGTTGGTTAGGTTAGGTCATATATCTACGTTACAACTACAAATCGGAAAGGAGCTCAGTATCTGTTTGAGAGTGATTACTCTCGTCATACGTTTATTAAGCATGTAAATTAATCGTTCTCCATCCCCTTGTAGATGCGGATGGAGGGGGGGGGGGGGGGGGCCCGAGCTCAGTATCAGGTACCAATAAGAATATATCGTCTACATATCTACAGTATACACTTGTCTTAAGACCCATGTCAACAAGGACTTTCTCTTCGACGGTACCCATGTAAAAATGAACAAACATGATACCAAAGGGGGAACTCATAGCAACGCCGTCTGCTTGCTTATTCATGCTCCCATTAGGACTCAAGAAGGGGGTGCCTCTTAAGTACATGCTTCGATTAGCTTCCTGAGTGTGCTTTCTGGGATGTCAATGGGAGTACAAACAGGATGCTGATAAGTTTTGTCCATCATCATTCCAATGGTCACCTCCACGGGTCTCTACAGCGACTCTTCATTCTTACACTTGATTCCTGTCCTCTACAGTAAATAAATTCCTTTGGAGACCTAAAGCTTGTGGTATGTAGGGGAGTTAGAAGTGTTGAGTTGATTAGGTAGCCTGTACGATGGCATAGGTATCTGACTGATGATGGGTCGAATTGGGTTTCCAGGTCTGTGGGTGAAGACAGTCCCATATGCATATTCAAGTTTGTACTTTACAGTAGCAATCGGTTTGGGAAGTGCAGACATTTGGGCATACACAGTTTAGTTGAAACTGTTAATGCCCAAACCATCTTCACTCCACACAGTGCTTAACAGTAAATAAACTACATAAGCCAAACTAAGATATACTCATGTAAAGAGTAATATGCTCGATGAACCTTAGTGAGGATGTTGTGATGTTTATCGAGATTGAAAATTACTATCAATTGCCCTGTCATGCAAAAACGAGACGAGGGTGCTGACGTTGACCCGCCTATGAACATCCTTCAATAAGGGACCGTCACCATAGAAAGTTTTATACGGCTTGCCCCATGCGTCTGGTCTCTAACTTCAAACAGACATAAAGGCAAACTGATATTCTCTTTAATGGATATAGATATTTAACAATTGGGTTCTTTCAGAACGAAGGTGTCCACTTTGTGAAGCTGCGTGGAATGGTCACGTAGATGTGGTGGAGTTTCTCATTGTGACTGACAAGACTGCCGTTTTGGACCCAGGTAAGTAATGTTACACGAAGTTGTGGTAAAATTGCTGGAGCTCATGGTAGCCGATAAGGACCATGAAAGTGGTATTACCACATTACTCGTCCTCATTTCCAATCAAAGTATTTTGCAGATATCTTAATTTAAATATAAGATTAGTGTAACATTTATTTACAGGAGAATGCTTAAGCGGTAAAAATAGTCACAAGTCATGGTCTACTAGCAATTTTTACTGCTTATATCCCCCAGTCTAGCATTCAATCGATCAATGACCCAACACATATTACCCAATTAATATTCCAACTCACCTTGATAAGCTTGTTCGCATTTGTGTTGCTCACGTGGCCCCACAAAGTGAGATGATTCGATGAAATATCTATGCCCAAGCTTACCACCAAGTGCTGTCGGGATGATGGGGAAATAGCAAGGATATGTCGAATATCGTCGTGGCAGTCGCGCAGGTCCCGAACACCGGTCGCAACATGGGGCGGGAGCAGAATAGTGCCAACACTGGCATTCAACTGAGCGTTCTTCGAGACCCGAACAGGGGTCTCGCCAAGGCAGGATAAGGCAGCCAAGCGGGAAGCAGCATCCTGAGAAGGAGCAGCAACGATACATGTACCGAGACGAGTGGGGTTGAAAGTAATGGAGGCATTCACGGAATCAATGAGATGTCGATAGAGGGAAAAATCGTCAGGAGGCGCAGAATCAAGAGGGAGGAGCTCAAAATATTTGGCCCACGAAGCGGGACCAAACAAGGCTTGATAGGTAGTAGAACTGGAAGGAATCGAGCGAGGGCGGCCGTGACGAGGACGGCGGTGAGAACCCCCAGAGAGAGAGGGGTTAAAAGGCGCAGTAGTTACAACTAGAGATGGAGCCGCGCCAGGGGACGAGGTAGTCACCACTGGGGGCTTGGGGCTCGACCCAACCACAGAGGAGGGAGGGAAGCCAGGGGAAGGAGTCAGAGAGGCCAAAAGAGGAGCAAGGTCGGGGCCTAATGCAGCGGAGGCTACAGAGCCCGCTCTTCCATCACGGACCGACTCAGGGGCTTGGTCGCCCACCCCACAAGCCTGAGAAGGTAAAGCAGAAACAGTCAAAACAGGGGTTATCATCATTACGAAAGGGAAAATTCATTCACGAATGTGCCCCCACACCCACCATGGAGCCACAATTAGAGGCAGGACACCCAACAAGAAGCTATCGCCGATCTTGCCGGGGCCTCCTAGAGGTGCGTCGTGAGTATACGCCCCACAAACGCCACCTTAAGAACCGACAGTCCGTCGAGATCGGGTTCAGTGACGAAAGGGGGATTGACAATAAATGGTTCCCCTCGCTCTCGACGTCGGGTACTACAGTTCTACGGGTGCAAGAGTATGCCTCCTCAAGCACCCGGGCGTCAAAATAAAAGAAGTCCAAGGGAAGAACCAGAACAAGCAAAAGGTCGGCAGGAAACGGCAAGCAGATAGGAGAAGAGGGGGGAGAAAAACGAAACAGAAGGAAAAGGAAAAGGTGCTCAGCAGAATTGGAGAGGACGGCAGCAGGAGCACCAGGCTAGAATAGGATAGAGGACTGTCCCAAGGAGCATCACACTCCGGCAGCCGCCCACTAAGCCCCCCTCACGGCAACAACGAGCTGAGCGGGGAGGGGGGAAGATCAGTAGAAGCCATGAGGAGGATTCGAACTCGAACACTGGGTACTCCCATGCACATGCCCTCGACCTTTACTACGATAATTGTAATGCAATTACTTGGGAGTACCAAGTGCGCAGATTCGAATGCTCCTCATGGATCCTACTGATTTTCTCAACGTGTATATATTTAATATTAGAATTGACAGGCACTTCTTGATCGACGCTTAACTTAACCTAGTACTCTCTTAAGCGTTCCATAAAGAAGAATCCTTGTTTTTTTTATCTAATTGTCTGTTGCATTTTGAATTCCCAGACCACAACACACATGGCTGTGCCACATGTTGTAGGATGTTATGTATTATCTAACACACTCGGGCAACACTGATGGCCGAATGTATCCGGGTCTCGTTCAAGTTTTTGCGACCCCACTGACTGAGCCTTCAATAATAACATTGTGATTAATTTGTGTGAATCTGTGTTCCCTGGTTATTAATGTTTTAGGTATACATAACGTGAGTTGTGTATACATCTGTATATATGTGTATATATGTTTGTGCTTGTGTAAATTATTAAAAAAATATTTATATTCTGTTTTCCAGCATATTTCATGATGCAGATGGCGTTCCAAGGCAAGTCTGAAGCCGTGAAGTTCCTGATGAGAAATGTTAAAAATACATTCTATAACTATTATGGTGAGTATATGTATATGTTTATCATAAATTGGCAGTCAATACATTTATAGTGAGTGAAGTTGAATGATCATCGCTCTGATATATAGTGCACCAACTTCACTAAGGGCTACTCATATACAACAAATGTACTCTCATTCTTTCTTAATAGTTTTCAAGCAGTTGATAGTGGGAAAGTGAATACCAATACATTAATGCTTGAAGTGAGGTGACAGGACAGTGTGACATGTTTCTTCAAGCGTTATCAACTACACATCTAATATTAAGTAATAGAAATGTCTTATCACATAGTAACAATAATGGATAAAAACTCACACTTATGAATTTGTGTGAAGATTTGAACTTTATCAAATTTGGTATTATTCGTTGTGATGTTAGTCTGGTCCTAACCATATATTTAGGCCTTGATAATTGTAATGACAAGTGGAGCTCACCCCTGACTGTCCCAGACAAAGCCTCCAAATGTACTGAAGGAGTGAAGCTGAAGTCTCAACTGTTCATGACAGACAACGTTCGCCTCACTCTCTTACATTAACAAAAAAAATCACTAGTTAACTTCTGGGAGAGGGAAGGGATCGGGAAGTATCAGAAGAAAGCGCCAAGCCATTACGACTATATAGCATACTCCACCCAAATACTTTACTGGGCGGAGTATTAATGGTGACTCGAGGCTTCTCTGATCTCAGCTGTGAATTTAGTCTAATAAACACTCTCAACTGTGTCCACCAACATTTTACAACCAAAACCAACCTCCACAGGAGGTAAGGTTCGTAACACTTCACTTATTAAGCAGCCTGATTGGGTGTTACGAACCTTACCTCCTGTGGAGATTGGTTTCGGTTGTAAAATGTTGGTAGACCCAGTGGAGAGTGTTCATTAGACTAAATCCACAGCTGAGATCAGAGAAGCCTCGAGTCACCATTAATACTCCGCCCAGTAAAGTAGTGCCTTCTCAGCTGGAGATCATCAGAAATAATGTGAACTGGAATAGCCTAACTATGTAAGGGAAAAATAAACTCTATCAAAAGGTATGCATGGGGAATATAGTAAATAAAATCAGTAATGTGTTTGATAGCATATGTAAAGAATAGAGTATTAAGGAGCGATGATGCAAGAGAGGTGGACGCCATCTTGACTGGAGGGGGAGGTGTATCGCTGCCGACCGTTCCTGCTATTTGAGGGGTTTTCTCCGGCCGTACAGTCAGATAAGCCTATCCTTGTATATAACCAGGGTTGCAAGGTTGGGTAGAGTAATATTACAGAAGTTGGAGAGGTTTTATAAGAGTCCAGGTTTCCTAGAGGCTAAAATATATGTGTCAGTGGATGATAGCGGTGGTGGCTGGGTGCACGGTACCAGGTATGGGATGGTGAGCCGTGGGGTGGTCAGAGCCACTTGAGGTTATAAAACATAGTGATCTTATGTTGTGAGGAAAACGCCTTGTTGAATGTATTCCTGTGTGACTTATACATATAAATTTGTGACTTGTGTACTAGGCTGTTTTCCTTACTCCTTACTCCCTAGACAACATTTTAAGGACCACCACCACCAAATTCTCACTAGCTCTCTATGACAACAAAATCGTATCACTACTGATAACATCAGTAAGACACAGGCCGTGATACAATAAGGGGTCAGGATATGGTTGGGATGGGGGGAAGGAATGGTGCCCAACCACTTGGACTGTCGGGGATTGAACGCCAACGTGCATGAAGAGAGACCATCACTTAGAACGAAATGTCCATATGTAGCACGTGCTATAGTGAGCCTGTAAGTAACTCAGTTGTTGTTGTTTTAGACTCAGCTACTCGGAACAAAAAGTTCCAAGTAACACGGGCTATGGTGAGCCCGTCGTGGACTTACCTGGTACAGGCGCGGTGCTGTAACTGAGTAACTCATTCAGAGATAGTCTTCTCAACCAACCTGGGGCATTCACCTCACCACTAATTACGACAATACACCTTACCCTCACTCACTCAACAGTCGACCTCTGGTCGCTATGGGACACTGCTCTGGTTCCTCCCTGTTTAGGCAACGGAGGGAATAACAACAAAATAATAAAACTTAGCTGGCAGTTTATCCTAAAGTTTCTTTACGTTCCTCTATAGTTCCTTTTATCCTAAAGTTCCTTTAGGATAAAAATTTCTTTAGGATAAACAGGGTCCTTTAAAAAAAAAAGGAAAAGTGTCCTTTAGTAGCGTCCTTTTTAAAAAAAAAAAAAAAAATATATTGTAGTTATCAATTTATATTTTTATATGTTGATATAAAATTGTACTACAATGTACCTTTTCATCTTACCTGATATGTTAGATTAAGGACCTGGCCGAAACGCTTTGCCTGTTAGTGGCTTTGCAAGAATGTAAAAATACCAATCTTATTAATCTCACAAACCCATTATACCTTCTTGTAAATAAAATTAATAATAATAATATTATTATTATTATTATAAACGATGCTATGGGTCCACCTTACCTTTGATACCAGTTGGCCATACCATCAGTGTGTGTGGCTCCTGCCCACTGACAATGGTAACACACACTCAACGATATGTTTATTTATTTATATAAATACAAGAAGATATATTGGGTTAATGGGAGTACATGGCATTGATGTTTTTACATTCTTGTAAAGCTTCTAGTATGCATAAGTAGGGTAAATTGTGACTAGAACCGTGTGCACCACCTGAGCAGGTGAGCCAGTTAGGCCCCCCCTGCTCAGATGGTGCACAAGTGTATAGTCCCAAAGAGTTCTGGGAGTTCCCCGGGGTGTGCGCGCGTGCCTTCCGGCCGCGCGGCATTAGTCACTCGGTAATCATGTTGGAGTGGGGCAGCGGCATGTGGGGCTATGTGGGTCATGTAGGGTAAAGTGTAAGTATAGGAACAGGTGTGGTGAACAGGTGAGCAATAGTAGTAGATGAATATGTATGAATATGTGCCGTCGAGTTAATCGTGTGTAGATATAAATATATAGTTAAATAACAGTATGTAGGATATGTTGAGGAGGGAGGGGGCTCCCCCTACCCCTGACAAGGATAAGTTGAGGAGGGAGGGGAGGGCCACCCCTACCCCTAACAGGGTAGGAGACCAGGCTCTTAAGATGGGTGGTTAGGGGTAGGAGGGGATAGGGGGAGAGGGGAAGGGAGGGGAGCAGGCAGCAGCTTTGTCTGATAGTGTGGGTCTCATTCTTTTCTTTAAGCACTGTCTGTTTTATGTAGGGAAAAAAACGTATAACTTTCTCACCCAATTCTGTTTGTGTCGTTGGTGTTCAATGACGGCGATTAGTTTTCACGTCAGACAGGCCTGTGTTGGAGGTAGAGCGTCTCAGCAGCAAATGGAATGTATCAATGAGGCGTAAATAGTTTTTTTCTGTAAACAGTGTGGGTGGGTCTCTTCCCTCACTCCCACATCTTGCTTGCTTGCTTGCTTCCAGAGGGGTACATACTCAGCAGCATCACATGACCACACGCACACGTGTGTCCACATAGACATGAGGTTCTCACCACATACCAGCAGACCACATAGGAGCCGTGAACTGTACTAGGAGCAGTGTACCTCCATGTCGCCAGCCCCCCGGTGTGTGGTCTTTGACGCCCCACGCTTGAGTGGCCTGTGTTTGTGTTAAGGTGGTGGGGTCATATGTCGCACCGGCCCCCCTCCCCTCACCCCGGATGTCACCCATCAACCTTAATCGTTTTTTCAAAGTCTACAGGGGGAGTCTGGGAGATGTTCACCCCGCCATGGTTGTCCTACCACTGCTGCTTGCATTTTAGGACTGGCAATGTTATTATCAGGAGCAGGCCACACCTGTCATCATCAATCACTTCTCAATTGACCGGTTTCGTTTCCTCCACACACACAAACAAACGCGAGGTTAGTTCACTAGGAGTCTTCATTCGCTACACACCACACCGCTCCACATCATGGAAAGACGAACTTTAACAGCCTGCATGAAATGCGGAGTGTTGTACATACCGTCACCAACTCAACGCTGTCGTCTAGATTGTGAGAGCTGCGCAAAACCACCCCTAGGCCATTACATCAAATGCAAGCGATGTCAGAAGATTTTCTGTGATAACCGTGAGTGATATTCTTATTTATTCTTCCACAGTTCAGTTATTGCACCCACAGGGGAAATATCATGTGTAAACTATTCTCTCCTATAGTGTAAGGATATTAACTTACCCTGACGATTACATTCCACACACTTAAATATGATTCTTTTTTCAATTTCAGTTTACAAAACGCTGAAGTGTCCATACTGTACACCACCGACCCCTCGAGGTGGGCAGCGTCGGAATGAAGCTTCGCATAAACGTAAGCTTAATATACATATACTTCTCTTACTTGTATTACATTTTCATCATCATCCACTTGCAAGCAAACACCTGCATAATAATATTTTTCCCCATAAAACCATGCTGAATATCATTGTTCCATTTCAGGTTACAATCCTTACCTCAAATGACGGAGGTGAGAGACAGACGTCATCGAGTCATTATCATATCCGCTCCACAGTCTGCTAAGGAGAACTAATGTCACTCACGACCAACCGCCAGCCTTTCAACGAGGGCGAGAGATAGAGGGCTGCGAGACATTATCCTGCCCAATTAACACAACGTTAATGACTCATAGCCTCACACCTGCTCAGCCCCCACACCGGGACATAAGTAAGTTAATACTGACTTATTTCAGTCTATTTTCTAAGCATATTAATTCCCACTACACTGTTCCCTCACCTTATATATAAATATATATATATATATATATATATATATATATATATATATATATATATATATATATATATATATATATATATATATATGCGAACAAGCCTGAATGGTCCCCAGGACTATATGCAACTGAAAACTCACACCCCAGAAGTGACTCGAACCCATACTGCCAGGAGCACTCTGCTGGCGTACAGGATCCCTTAACCACTCGACCAACACGACCGGACAAAAGAGGATGGTAGCCGAGGCTATTCCCATTTCCCTGCTGGCACT